CCCCAAAACCCCAAAACCCCAAAACCCCAAAACCCCTTCTCCAAATATCACTGTTGAAATCCTCAAAATTTTTTAGTCGATTTTAACATCTTGCAAAACCTGGTTAAACGCAGACTGGTATTTGATGCCAAAATGGAAGTACAGGAGTTTAAAGCAAGCCTTTGCTTGCTTCCAGCCTGGACTCTGCTTAGGGTCGTCTCAGTCATTAGGCTCATTGGAAGCACCTCCAATGAGGAAATGATAGAGGATAGGTAGGATCTGATCAAGCAAAGCTTCTACAAAGAATCTGCGATAGGTACTTGTCCGAAAGCCATCATTGTCTTCTGCCCTGTGATCAACTAGAAGTTAGTGACAAATAATGACTTACTTCACAAGCTTATTATTTTGTACAATATTTTAGCTACAAGATCCATATCAGGAATCCAAGGAGCCTGAAGAGTGCTCAAATCACTGATTTGAGTAGATATAGTCCCTTTATCCGGGTTGTAAACAGTTAAATCCTTGAGGAGTTCTAGAGCAACTTAGGAATTAAGGGTAAGAGGTAGGAATGCTTCACTAGTTGGCCTCAAATCTGATCAAACTCTTTTGGAATATCTTCTTCCCTAGCACTTGGCCAAGGAGGAGATTTATAACCTACAAGCGATTCTAAGAATTTATCATAAAATTCTTTTGCTTTTGTACATACTATAACTGGGATTATTTGTGAGGGTTTATGAAATCATTCTAGATGTTCCTTCCATATCTCTGGTGAGAGTTCATCTTCTTCCTCAGTCACAGGAGCCTCTTGGGTTTCAGGGATTTCAACCTTATTTTCCATCAATCAGTGCAAAATGGCAATCAAGCGTTGGATTCAAAGGAAATAAAGGAACCTCACCAGTGTTAGTGATTTCTAATGGGTCTGGTACGCTATCCAGAGATATCTTTTCTAAATCCTGGAGGCAGTAATCAAGGCCATCTCTTGTCTCAACGTATTTATATCAATCTAGAGGCTGGTAAAGGATAGTTGTACTATTGTTGAGTCAGTAATTCGCTCGGGTGATGTCTTGAGGTACTAAATGTGTCCTTTTAACAGCTCTCATCAATCCTCTTGCTTTATAAACAAGTTTCTTAATATCTTCCTCACAGTACGAATTCAACAATTCTGTGTGCACTAATGCTTCCTCTTGGAGTTTACTTCTTAATCGTCTTGGGTGGCTTTCCAGCAGAAATTCCATGAAGGTAGTCCCTTTTATCGACATTTTTAAGTCAATTTTTATAAATCCTATTGGGGTTTTGGGGTTTTGGGGTTTTGGGG